ATCATGAGTGATACTTGATTAAAAGGTACTATCTTTGTATCCTTAATACCTGAGATAAATAATGGAACTTAAGTGTAGGTAGTATTGTGCTTTGATGTGGTCAAATGTTGATCCTTAACCAGGCACGAAATCCATTTCCAAGTATAGTGTGAACTATGCAAGAGGCTTATGTAGTCGAGATGAGATTTGTTCCTCTTATGCGCCTTACCAAAAGTTGAACACCTAATGAGATTGATCGTGATTCGTATCTCATGTTCAACATGATGTCTGTGACAAAGTTCTTGGTGTCTTTCATTTTCCTTTGAACACCAAAAGATCGCCACATACACATAAAAGTTTGATTCCTTGTCAAATAGAAAATTGTCAACATTGAACACCAAAAGATCGTAGGTAAGAGAAGTTCTTCATGTCTTTCATCTTCCTTCGTTCTTTAACTGATGAACACAATGAATACCAAGTGTTCTTGGTGTTCGTATGAGTAAGAAAGATTGGTCCAAAGATAAATGATTTCAGAGAAACAAACAAAATAATCCTCTACCGGTTACCTGCGTATAAAAAAGGGGAATTTGATTCCTTGTTGCTGAGGATTCTCACACATACACATAAAAGTTGTGAAGAGGACGAAAGAGTAGTGTCGATCTTTGTTTACTTGAGGTAAAGGATACGAACGTAGAAAAAGCAAAATCAGGACACAGCAGCAAGCACAATCGCCATTTGATTTTTATGGTGGTGGAAACGTACTGTTGGTCTTGAGTAAATGGTGGGGCTTTTTTAATTTACCATATATTAAAATAATAATAATAAAGCCACATGACTTAGGCCCCGTTTGTTTACCTCTTAATTGAAAAATTAAGAGGCAATGTCTTAAAAATTCAGATTCAGATCGTTTGTTTGCGTCTTATTTTTTACCTCTTAATATTATAATTGCCTCTTATTTTTTCAGATGTTGAACAAGATCTGAAAAATAAAAAAAACAAGTCGCGTACCTATTTTGCCCTTATAACGATCGGACAATTCTCTTCCGTCTTTTCTTCCTTCGCATCTACTCCCGCTCCCAATCGCTCTGGTTCTCTTCACCAGCAAGGATCCGACGAGGCCTTTACCCTTCCCCGTCGACGACGCTTCTCCCTGGAACGCCGCCGCTGCCGTCGCACGTCCTCCCGCATCGACTTCAGGTATGTGTTTCTTCTTTTTAAATTTGATTTCTTTGCTATTCTTCTATCTTCCTTCTCCTGAAAATCGATTTCCTTGCTGCTCCCAAACCTGAAAATCAAAAATCGAAATCATCTTATGTTATTTGTTCCTGATTTGTTCAAAAACGAAATCAGGTATGTGTTTCTTCTTCTTAAAATCGATTTCTTTGCTATTATTCTTTCTTCCTTCTTCTGAAAATCGATTTCCTTGCTGCTCTCCAACCTGAAAATCAAAAATCGAAATCATCTTATGTTATTTGTTTCTGATTTGTTCAAATAACGAATTGAGTTATGCAGAATCTTAAGTATGTTTTCTTGAATCGAAGGTAATTTGCTCGATTTCTCTGTGTTGAAAATGTGCTCTTTGTTCTAATTTGTTCCTTTTTGTTGATATATTTTTGTTGATATATGTGGATGTATAGCTGAAATTGAATTAATTTGTTGAAATTGAGTTCATTTGCTGAATTCATTTGTTATGGGTTGTTTGTTCATTTGGGTATTTTTTTTTGAAAAAATTTGTGTTATGATTAGTGATTAATGGGTAAAATGATGGTTTAAGATCATGTTTCCAGTTTGACGGATTTCATCACATATGTTTTTAAGGTGTGGTTTCACTGGTTACAGAAATGGTTATAGAAATAGGAGAAAAGGAAGAGAACATATTTTCCTAATGTTAGAATTGAAGGGGGTAATGAGAATGAATTGGCCTTGGAATGGAATGAAATTCCACTTGCGAAGAGTTTCTGTTTGTATGTATTTAGATGCATGACTAGATAAAATTATAGATTTGTACATAAATTAATAATTAATTATTCATACATTTAAGTTTGATTTGGATTGATGTTTAATTTTGATTTATTTAATTTGAATTTTTTATTTTTTTCTACATAATTATTCAAGAAGTTGATTTGTTTATTTTATAAACAAAAACATTGAAGTTAGCAAAAATAATACAAAAGGGTAAAACGGTCATTTTTATAATTCAGAGGTTCCAACCCAACAACAATTCAAAATTCAGATCTTAAAAATTTAGACCCTCTTAGAAATTCAGACCTCTTAAAAATTCAGATCCTGCCAAACAGCCCCTTAGTTTAAATAGTGAAACCATATAGAATATAGATAATTTTCCTATTTTGCAGGTATATAACAATTTTAATGATCTATTACGCAAAATATTAAGTTCAGAAATTTACCACGTATATAACTAAATTTTAATGTATTACACTTCATTTTCCCTTTAGTTTTATTTGAAAATAGTTAAGTTTTGTTGGTTAAAGCACCAATTTAGAAATTTACCACGTATATAACAATTTACCACCTACGGTTACGGCCTACGTCATCCCCATCGCCTTCCCCTCTCCAATCTCCAAAAAACCAAGAAACGTCTCCTCTCCTCTTTCCTCTTTCCTGTCTACGCAGTGTTCTATAATAGGAAAGGAATCTTCCTTTCTTTCTCTCTCTAGAATCTAGAGAGAGAAAGGTGTGCGCCATGGGGGAGAAGGTACAGAATGATAAAGATGGCGTATCGTACGATACGAATACGACGCCCCGGGAAGGAGTCGTAGAGGGTATGCCTTTGTTTGCTAAAGAGCTGATCGCCGGTGGTGTCGCCGGAGGAGTCGCGAAGACAATTGTTGCTCCTCTTGAGCGCGTCAAGATCTTGTTTCAGGTATGCTTTTCATCATCAATTATGCCTCTTAATTGCAGATCGTTGTCGGTGACAATTCGCAATTTTGTTAATATCTGATGTGTTCAATTTCATTTTTGGTCACATTAGTATCTAATTGTTCATAAATTTGGGCGAGATTTTGATCCTAATTTATTTAGACCTACGTTCTGTTAGATGAATTTTGCCGATTAATGCTAATTTCATGCTTTTGATTGCCAATTTTAACAATGCTATAAACAGAAACAGAAATTCCCATTTTGTGAAGACAAACTTGACTTATATCACCTCCACACCTATTCATTAAATAACAAAACACTTCCCACCTCCATTTTTTCATCAGGCCCCTCGTATTCAAAAACGGTTATTAATAAATAAATGATCAGCTAATCAGATATTTTTTAAATACAATGGTGCAAATGCTATTTCTTGCATTTATTAACAATCTTTTTACTCTTATATCACAATATTACAGACCAGAAGCGACTTTCACAATATAGGATTGCTAGCGTCTTTTAGAAGGATTGCAAAAACAGAAGGCCTTTTTGGGTTTTACAGGTTGGAGACCAAACTTCTATCGATCAATTTCAACTCCAATTTTCTTTTGTTTTTTAATCTAAAGTTTTTTATTGTAATTTAGAGGAAATGGAGCTAGTGTTGCGAGGATTGTTCCTTATGCAGCTTTACATTATATGGCATATGAACAATATAGAAGACATATTGACCACAACTTTCCTGGAATGGGAAGTGGCCCAGTTGTTGATCTGTTAGCAGGATCATTATCTGGAGGAACTGCTGTTCTTTTTACTTATCCACTTGATTTAGTTAGAACCAAATTGGCTTACCAGGTATACAATCATCATTCCCAAAACTTTATTTCAAGATTTAAATGCAAAAAATCGTTACTTACTTTTTTTTTAATTTTGCCATAGTTTGAGTGTCTGTCTAACTAGCCCAATCATTTTCATCTGATAGTACAGGTTGTAGATACTCCCAAATTGAACATGAAAGAAGCCATGACTACTGAACATGCATTCAGAGGAATTAGAGATTGTTTTTCAAGAACTTATAGAGATGCTGGGATTAGAGGGCTCTATCGTGGTGTTGGTATGAATTTTTTTAGTTTCTCATACAAAATAAGTTTTTTTTTTTTTTTTTTATTATAATAATTGAATCTTTTTTTTTGTGTTTTGTAGCTCCATCACTCTACGGAATCTTTCCTTATTCAGGTTTGAAGTTTTACTTCTATGAGAAAATGAAAAGCCATGTCCCCGGTGATTACAGAAAGAACATGATGGTCAAACTTGCTTGTGGGTCCGTTGCTGGTTTACTTGGTCAAACCTTCACTTACCCTTTGGATGTTGTGAGACGCCAAATGCAGGTAATCTTTTAAATATATGTATGTGTATGTGTATATGTATATAATTAAAGTATGAGATGATGAAGATAAATGTTGTTTTGAGTATCACAGGTTCAACGGCTACAAGGCTCAAACAGCTCACAACTGAAAGGAACAATGGGAACTCTTGTCATGATTGTCCAAAAAGAAGGATGGAAGCATTTATTTTCAGGGTTGAGCATCAACTATCTCAAGGTGAGATTGTTAATTAGTTACCCGAAAGGGCAAATTTGTAAAAAGTTAGACTTAACAAGGAATTTTTTTTTTTTTTTTTAAAGGTGGTGCCATCAGTTGCAATTGGATTTACTGTGTATGACACCATGAAAGTATATTTAAAGGTTCCACCACGAGAAAAAGCTATTGTTGAAGTGGCTACAAACAAAAGAGAGACTCATACATCAACCTTGCCCTCATCACAATAATTACAATTTTAACCTCGTATTCTTTTTCTCATTAGTTTTTAAGGTGATTGAGAATTGTATATTTGATTCTTTTGTAATCTAGCCTAGGTTCTATTCCAATGTATAGGCACAACTATCCTATCCCCTCTTTGCAATGATTTGAGGGTGAGTTAATAATCCCTTAGATTGATAATAATCCAGGGCTATATATATATATATGTGTGTTACATGTCAACATCAAAACAATGTACATAAAAATAAGATTTGTAAATGAATATGTAACATCCATAATTTGATATTTATATTCCAAGACTGTTATAATTATGTTACATGTCAAAGATTTACCAATAATCTCCACAAGAGCACATACCATCTTTAAAATGATGAAACCTTTTGTTGTCTCTTACAATGAGCTCCCTCCCAACAATTTTGGACATGATCTTGATAGCGTTATGACAATCACCACATATCCTTAAATTCTTGATGATCCTAAGAGTTGTTCTTGGTGGAGTGCTAATTAAACCATATGCAATAGCTAACCTTTCACTGTGGTGCATCAAGGCTTGTTCTTTAGCTTCTTGATCAATGTCATGAAGCACATATCGGGTATCTGGAACATACCCTGCATCTCTCATTTGACCATTTAAACCGTTTAGTTTTTTGTCTGAATCTTCTTTGTAAGGATCCGGATTTCGGTATTCGTAGACTTTGTTCTTCTTTCCTTCAAGCATATTACTTGCAGATTGATTAAGAAAAGGAGGTTTGTGTAATGCGATTGATGGTTGAAGAAATGCCATGGCTCGATCTTCGAGCTCGATATCACCATGGATTCGAGCAGAATTCATCAATGATTCCCATATTTCAAATGTAGGTTCAAAAGGAATGTTTTCAATGAACTCAAAAGCTTCGTTTAGATGCCCGGATTTCCCCAAAGCATCGATAACCCCTAAGTAATGATCAATTTCTGGATCTAGATTGTAGTCGTTCTTCATTGATTTGAAGTGTTTGAAGCATTCTTGAATTGAATTAACATCTGCACATGCTGATAAAAGTAATCGGAAAGTCTCCTTGTTTGGAGTTAACCCCAGCTCTTTCATCTGGTCGTATAACAACAAACCTGCATCAGGTTCCCCGTTATCTGTGTATCCCTTTATCATTGAATGCCATAAGTTTATGTCGTCTCGTTCACGCATTCTGTCGAACACCCTGCGTGCATCCCTCATGCTGTTGCATTTTATGTATAGTACTATCAATTTAGAGTTCAAATTTACAAAACCGTAGTAGGGAGATCGAATAAGAAGCTGCTGAACCTTCTTCCCCAGTTCAAGATCGTCACACGAATCCAAAACAAGCTCGAAAACATCGGATCCTGCGGGCACACCTTGAGACATTAACTCAATCGTTTCTTTAATCGACCCATTTTTGCATAGCGCCATTAAATCCACATCCGGTGGCGGAGATGAGTTGGTGCGTTTTTGTGTTTTGGGAAGAGTTGGTGGTTTTGTGGATGTGTTGAGTCGGCGATTGGTGGTGCGTGTGGTGGCATCGTTTCGGGATGCAGTGCAGAGGGAATTGGGAGTAGGGTTTCGAAGGTGATATGGAAATTTGAGCTTGGGCTGTTTTGGTATGTCAAATTTGAATTCAATAGAAGAGAGAGATGACGCCATTGGAGAGCACGAGGTCTGGTTAAACCGTTAAACCAGATAGATGATAAAGCAGGAAGAAAATATCTACAGATACGTTGTCGTTTTAATGTTTTATACATATATTTTTGTACATAAGGGTGGCCACTCATCTTAATTGTTTTATATTGACAAAACTGCAAATTTGGTTCTTGCAAAAAAAAATGTGGGTACGATTCAAAAGTTTCCTACTTATATGGTTGGTCCAAAATCAAGAATTTTACTTTGTTTTGATCCTAAAATTAAGATATTCCCATGGTTTTGGTCCCTGTAAAACCTGAATGGATGTTTTCGCCCTTTTAATTTTTTTTTTACAATTTTTAATGTTTTATAATTACAAAATAAAACAAAATATACAAATACAAAAAATACACACCCCACCATTACCCCACCCCCACTCCACCGTATCATCTCTCTTTCTCTCTCTCACACACACACATACACTCACTAAGGTGCTGTTTGTTTTTTCTGAAGCAAAATGTCTGCAGTCTGCGGACCACATCTGTAGACCTCTGCAGTAGAAGAGGTGAACCAAACGTCTGCAGTCTGAAAAAAGAAGACTGTTTGTTTTTTTAATATCTGCGGGCTATTAAAATAAACTGAAATCTAAATAAACTGATTTTTTAAAACTTCAAAGCAATTTTTTTATATATTTTTACGACTTTATTATAAATATATAACGAATCTAGATCAACTTTTATGTATTATTATATAAAAAATAAAAATAAAAATGGTATTAATTCATATACATATTTGATAAATACCAACAACTTTGATTGCAAAGTTATAACTAAACATTATAATTAGTGATCAAAGAATTTGATACATAAATAGATGGAAATAAACTTCGATTTTTTCAAATAAATCTATTAAAAACGTACGATAAATATTTTCTCGAAAAATTGATGATACTCTATTAAATAAAGTTTTACAAAATTTTGGCAAAAAAATATAAGAATATATTATGATTTTTTTTTCATATTTATATAAACACCTTCAACGACTATTATTATAATAAATTTTTATTTATAAATTTGTTAAAAATATCATGTTTGTATCGTCAAATGTTTTTTTTTTTTTTTAAGTTTTGTAATTTTTTTTCAAATTGTTTATCATTAATAAAGTTGGAAAAAATATAAATTAAAAAAAACTTTAAAAAATAAAGATATATATGTTTTTTTAGGCTAGAAGATGTCTGAAGATGTTAGAAGACTCTGGTCCACATCTGCGCCAAGAAGAGGGCGCGCAGACATTTTTAGGTCTGCAGTCTTCAAAAAAACAATCAGTCTGCGAAGACTAATGTCTGCGCGTGGTCTGCACGGCGCAGACAGAAGACGTCTCGCAGATCTGCAGACAAAAAACAAACACTACCTAACTCACACACACTCTCTTCTTCTTCTTCTTCTTCTTCAAAACCTGCAAAAAACAGAGACCTACTTGAAGATTGAGAGTAAGCTTCATTGCAACCCATCATTCCTTTGTCCTTATTTCTTCGTTGGAAAACCCAAACAAAAACAACCCCACTGGGGACTGCCACCTCCAACCTACAACCTGAACAAAAACACCCACACACATTAAGAACTGATCTAGTAAAAAAGCTTCCTCCATCCTTATTTCTTCGTTGGAAAACCCAAACAAAAACAACCCCACCGGGGACTGCCACCTCCAACCTACAACCTGAACAAAAACACCCACACACATTAAGAATCGATCTAGTAAAAAAGCCAACTAAATCTTACCTTAAAAGCTTTGACTCGTCTGTAATACAACCAAATCGTTGATGGTGGTTGTGTTATGGCTCTGCAACGTACATATCCGGTGGCTATCTGAATAATGGTGGTGGTGGTTTGGCTCTCCGACGACCAAATTCTTTACCTTTGATGAACGATGGTAATGATGATGGTGGGTTTGATTTTCTTAGTTCTTCCTGATTTTAATCTTGATTTCACAACTGGGTCAAGAACAAATCAAGAGGTGCACTCGATTCTCGAAATCCCAGACTTCACTAATACAAAATATGCATTATAGAAATCGGAACCCTAACCCACCCTATCACTCCACTTACAACCCAGATTGGATTAACTCCAAATCAAACAATGGATTTGTTTGATTCTTTAGAAAGCACATCTATCCATCACAAATAGAATCGAACAAAGAGAAATCATAGGGCGTATCACACCAAATCGAGTAGCAATAAGGATTAACTCCAAAACCGTAATAAGTTCGAATCAGGGGGCAGCAGAGCAGTTCGATTTTGCTACATTTGATTTTCGATTTGCTGGGTTTTCACAAAATCGCAATAGGCTCCAAAACATAACAACCGATCACTTCGTATTCTATGGGTTAAAGTTGTTAACAGTTAGAAGGGTTTTCTCAAAACCTTCATGTTTTGGGTTTTTGATTTGCTTTGTCTGCATTCAAATTTTTGGTTTCTGGAATATCTAGTTTATCAAGAAGAAGGGAAAGAGTGTGTGTGTGGGGAGAGAGAGAGAGAGAGAGAGAGAGAGAGAGAGAGAGAGAGAGAGAAGAGAGAGAGGGGGGGTGGGGGTTCGAGTCTGGTGGGGTAGAGATATGGTGGGATTTTTTTAATTTTTTTTAATTCTCGAAATATAGAAATAAATATTATAAAATATAAAAAAGAAATTCAAAAGGGTATGATAGTCTTTTCACATTTGTAAGGGACCAAATCCACAAGAAAATTTTCATTTTGGACTAATGGTGCAAGTTGAAATATTTTTGGACCTCATCCACAGTTTTTGACAAACCACAATGACCAAATTTATAGTTTTGTCTTTTATATTCATAAACTAATATTTACCATGAGGTGATTGGGGTTGTTTTAAAATAATTTTTGGTTTTTAATTTTTTTTAAAAGTTAAAAAAAAAAGTCAAAACGTGTTTGGATTGTTCAAAATTCTTTTGTAAATGACTTTTGGAAAAAAGAAAATAAGAAGTTTCTAAAATTCATAAAAACATGACTTTTTATGATTTTTTGTTGTTTTACCTATAAAAGTTAAATCAAAAGTCTTTTTGCCAATCAAAACAAATTTTAAAAACCTTTTTTTTTTTTGCTAAAAGTCATTTTACAAAAAATACTTCTACAAAAAGAACTTTTGATGTTCAAAAATAATCCCAAATACCCTCTAAGTTGATTATCAATTTATTATGTATAAAACCATAATTAACTTCTAAAAATGAATTTCTTGTTTAATCAATTTCTTCAATATCAATTTCATTGAAACTTAAAAATTATCAAAGAAAAGTTTTGAACTTTGTAAAAGGTTTTATTTGAGTTATGTCATTCATTAAAACCGAATTTGATTCTTAAATATTTTTATAAGATGATCATGTTTGAAAAAAAAAACATAGAGTTGGTTTTTTTAAATAACATATATATATATATATATATATATATATATATATATATATATATATATATATATATTTATAAGTTTATATGAAATTGACTTATAAAAGAAATTATTTTTTTGTTTTGTTCAAATTTGGGTAACGAACTTGTAGGAAGTGTTTACATATGATCATTTTAACAGGCATTAACAAGTTACAATCGGCCATAATGATCATATGTGAACACTTCAAGAAGTTTCTTTACCGATATGTATACAAAAGAAAAGAAATTACTTAAATATAAATAAAACGAAAAAGAAATTATCCAGATAATTCAATTTGCATTTTTTATTTTACCTTCTAATTTTGATTTGAGATAAAAATTTAACCTGAATGGTAAATATTTTTAATACTATACCATTTTGGTGAATAATTGTTTTTAAATACACTAATCTGGCTTAAAAAAACTTAACGTTTGACAACGAAAAACACACATCGTCATTTTATAAAATTTTGTTGTTTAAGATATTAAATATACAATTAAAATTTACTAGAGACTAAAAGTATCACATGTAAAGAGTAATAACTTGAAATAAAATGCGGTTTTCAATGAAATTTGATCCATATATTACAAGAAATGACTATCAGAAATGACTCGTAACTTATATATATATATATATAAGTTGAAATATATATATATATATATATATATATATATATATATATATATATATATATATATATATATATGGTTATTTGATAATTATGCTATCAGAAATGACTCGTAACTTAACCAATTTAAATGTTCATTATTCTTATAAATATTTTGTTTTAAAGAAATTTAACTGAATCTATTAATATTACAAATATTGTGATCGACCGTCCTAATAAAAAGAAAATTTGACTTATTAGGGTAATTATATTTTCGTTTTGTTTATATTTTCGTAACTTTTTTTATACATAACTGCCTAACGAATTTGTTTGAAGTGTTGACATATGATCATTATGATCAGCTATGACCGGTTGTAACTTGCTACATCCGATCATAATGGTCATATGTAGGGCTATAAACTAACCAAACGAACACGAATAAAGGTTTGTCCATGTTTGTTCGTTTAAGTTAGTCGAACAAACGAACAAACACAAACAGATAAACGAACGATTTTTCTTGTATATGTTCGTTTATTTAACAAATTACCTTGTTCGTGTTCTTTTGTTTATGTATGTGTAAACGAACAAAGATAAACAAACACAATTGAGTGTATATGAACATAAACGAACATATAATAAAATAATATAATAAAAAAAAATTTGAACATAAATGAATATAAAGAAACTTAAACGAACATAAATGAACGTAAAAGAAAAGATTATAAACGAATGTTCACGAATATAAATAAACGAACAGGACCATTGTTCATATTCGTTCTTTTAACTAAACGAATGATAATTTTTGTTTTATGTTCGTTTATTGATTAAATAAACGAACTTCTGATCGCACGGTTCACGAATAGTTCGCCGAACGTTTTGTTCATTTACAGCCCTAGTCATATGTGAATACTTCCAAAAGTTCGTTACCTAGATGTGTAAAAAAAATTATCGAAATGTGAACAAAACAAAAAAATAATTAGTATGAT